TATTTGTATTTTACAATCAAAGTCATTCTTATCAATTTCTGTTTTTGCAGAGTGGACCACACAGGAGGATGTGTCACATTAGTTGAGGATGGGAGGGGGTGCTTTCTGGTCACTCTAGAGGAAAATTGGTGAGAGTCCCACGGGGCTACACCTCTTGTCACCTACCTCTGTGAAACAGAAGGCAGTTTGATTTTTAAAACTTCATGTGCAGCTTTCGGGAAAAGAGGGAAGTGAGCCTTCCCTGGCACTCCTTGCTGAGTCAAAAACAGGCAGGGACAAGCTTGGCCTAGAGGAAGGTTCCTGTGCTTTTCTGCCAGCCTCTCCCACTAGGAGCTCCATGATGAAATTAGAATGGAAAAAACTTTAAAGGGAAATTTTATAGGCAGTATAGTAGATTATAAAATGTTTAATGACAGGAAACTTTTCTTATGAAAGGACAAGACATAAGAGCTAGTTTGCATACTTACTTTCCCTAGATTTTTCTCTGAATATTTTTTTTTTGCTATAAGAGTCAGTATAAACTCTACATTGTGAATAAACATATTTTTTATCTAGACAGCAAAGAGGAATCAATAGTATCAAAGTGAGCACCAGTTAATCTTCAATGGAGTGCAGTTTTAACCCATGTTTTCCCTGAAAAGGAGCCATTGCATACAATGGCAAATTTGGGTTGAAGTTTGTAAAAATTAATTTTCTTGAAAATGCCAGTATTTCTAGATGATTTCTTATGTAGTAAAAATATAAAAACATCTTGGGGAATGAAAGTTCAGAGTGGCAGTTTACCCAAGGAGAAGGAAGGAGGACAAAGTGATGGATAGCTGTAACTCGTTTATTTGAGAGAAGAGAGAGAACTATTAAAAGCAAATATGGTAGGATGCTAGTATCTACTAAATTTAGGTTGTAGTACATGGTTTCTGTTATATCAATTTTTAAACTCTATATGCTTGAAATAATTTATAATTTTTTTAAAAAAATGAAGATTTGCACAGCAAGACAGAAAGCTAAATGGAAATTTTCTTTTTTGCTATGTGAAAGAAACAAGCAGTGATGGTTCAGTAGCCTGAGTTCTAGAAATAATCTCAACATGGTAAGAGGGTGTGTAAGCCAAGACTACATCTATGCAAAACAGGGTTTATGCATGGGACACATTTCCGGTAGGAAATGCAGGATTTGAGTAGACTTCCAGAGTTGGTTTTAAAATTTAAAGTGAGGCATCAAATTTAGACAATCAGTAAGAGAGTAACCCATATAGGTTATATTTTTACATGTTCTATAAAGTACAGTTTGGTGTCTACAGCCTGGAAACCACAGCCAGCCCCTAAAGCTTTCAAGTTGGCCCCTGACTCTTTCTTGCCATCTCCATATGACCGAGTTTACACCGAACTACCAGCATTTCCAGGTTCCTCTCCAGGCACCATAGAGTGATGGTGCTCTCACAAAGGTATGACAGTAAGACAGGGTGTGAGGCTGGAGGGAGAGAGGCTGTAGCTCCGGAAAAGCAGAGCCCATAGCATTTTGCTTTTAGTTAATGCATGTATTTGTTAGTATTGCTGCTTTAAGCCTGAACAAATGCACTTAATGAATATGTGGCAAATGTAAGGCTCAGAAGTATCATTTCTTCCCTGTAAATGTAAACACCCTCCCTCTGAAGTTCCTGTGGGAATGGATTCTGGATTCTGGGGCTGAGTATGGGGCACCCTCCATGAGGCCTTTGCCCACCTGAAAGCATCATTCCATAGATCCTCCCATTGTTCCCACACAGTGGACCTAACTCTCCACTTTCACTTTCTCTTCTATAATTGTTTCTAACAGACAGTCAGTAGAACTCCCACATTAGCTTTTAGGTGTGAAGTTATCGTAGAATATAAAATGTTGAAGATACGCATTTTCTCTTTTCTATCTTTCTCCTTAGCATCCAGGTATACTAACTGATCTTCTAAGATAAATTACACAGACACCATGATCATCATCTTGAAAATAAGAAATACCTACTAATAATCAAGAAAAGCACATGTTTATAATATACTTGGACAATTCTATGTAATCTATGAGAGACAACCTTCTAGTAGAAAAGGACACAAACAGGTAAGGTTAAGGTTGATTCCTTGTTGCATCCACATCAGTGGTTCTCAAACATGGGGGATTTTTCTCCCCCCAAGGGGACATCTGTCAATGTGGAGACTTTTTGGATGTCACCATTATAGGGATCCTATTAGCATCTAGTAAGTTAAGGTCAGGGATGCTGCTAAATATTCTATAATGTGTAAGTCTACTTCCCACAACACAGAATTTTCAAGCCTCAAATTTCAATAATGCCAAGTTTGGGAATCTCTATATGTAATCCATCTGACTATTTCCCTTACAGTCTCTTGCAGAGCAGGAGCTTCGTAAAGTCTCACAGAAAAGACACATACAATTGTAAATATCTTTCTGATAAGAAAGATGCATGGAGAACAATTTTTTCCTCAGCTTAAATATTAGAGGGAAATGTGATTCAAAATTTTTTACAAACTTAAAGGTCATCCTGAGCAGAAACAACAAAGGGATATTTGGAGAAGAGCTCTGGAAAAAAAAAAAAAAAACCTGGCTGTTGTCTCTTTCTTATTGCTTCCTTTAACTGTTAGGACCAGCAGAACCGTTTCAATTTTCAGTTAACAATAACAAGCAAAGGGAACAATGACAGCTTGTACAGTCAGATTCTCTAACCTCTAAGTTCCTCCTCTTCCTACAAGTTGATTAAATGCTTAATAAAAGGATACTAAACTAGTGAATAAAAAATACATGATATGGTGAAATAATGTGGCTGTAGGTGAACCTGCTTTATTAGTCATTTACATAGCTATATTTCCCAGTAAGTACTAAACTCCTTGATACAGAAACTCATTCTATGAGAACATCTAATACCTGTTAAGTTGTTTCATTTGTAAATTATTTTGTGACTGAGGCAGCAATATGTTCTTGAGTAGATGATTACCTCTACATGAGAAAGATGAATGAAGACTGGGAGTAAACGAATGTATAAAGTTTTTTCTTAGCCAATAAATGTATAAGAAAGTTAATGCCATGCATTTGTTAGCAAATTGTTACTTAGTCACAAAATACTGAAGCAATAGAAGTAAACAGTTCATGTAAATACCATAATTTATATTTTTTGTGCCAAGCCAGTCAGAAAAAACTCCCAGTTTTTCACTTAAATTCTTTAGTCATTATAGTCAGTGTCAATGCTGATAACATCTTTCAATCTCCTTCTCACAAATATACACATACATAAACACACAATATTTATATATATGGCACACAGACACACATGTTAAAAAGGCAAGTGCTGGGCCTGGCTCCCCAATACCTGAATACTCATTGACCCCTGCGCCTCTATCTCCCTTGTTTTCAATAGTTATCATTCACCATGCCCTTTTACAACATTGTCCTCCCATAATTGGTTCCTTATCTCCCTGCTTCCAGCACCCCAAATGCACACATTCTAGCTGAGAGGTTCAGTGGCCTGCTATAGGATACAGAGCCACTTGTCTTGTGAGAAAGGCCAGTTATAATTCCTCCCTCTGAGTCTGTTTGGGTTCACAGGCATTACACCTTTGACCTTGTGGGATTTTTATGAAATTAAAAGAGATATTGTTATGTTAAGCACTTGCCAAGTCTTTGGTGTTTAATAAGTGCAGATTAGTTCTTTATTGCTGCTCCTCATTCCTCATCAAGGTTCTAAAGGACTTGAGGCCATAAGGCCACGGTCTGCTTCTGTGGACTAAAGCCATCATATTTATCTACCTAATTACCCTTAATAGAAAAAACATCTTTCATTCCACAATTGGAGCTAAGAGACTTAAAATGCAAATATGACTAGTAGGACCCATACTAAATAATATGAGTTAGTTTCACTTGAAAGGTAAAGACTGACATCATGGTATTTTGTCTTTTATTTGGGAATAGGAATAAGAAATTTAACAGGCCTGGGCGTAGAGGTCGGATAAGAGGAAAAGGAAGAAACAAAATGCGAGGCTGGCAAAACCAAAGACAGATTTCTTTACATCACACCTTTGCTGAAGGCCTGCTACTTACAGAAACAAACCAACAGAGCCTGAGTCCAAAACTATGTTAGATCCCGAGGGACACAGACACACATAGCGAGAACTGTTTCATTCAAGCCTTCAATTACTGACCAAATAATAACTTTTATAAAAGACTAAGTTATAATTATTGACTGGGTTTATCTGCAAAATGATTCAGTTTATGTTTATTATCAGTCTAGGAAACATAGTACTATATTATGAAATTAAAAGTCTCATATTAGCTTAGAGAAAAATATGCTCAAATCAACAAACAAAAAGCCTGAACATGGTTTGACCAAGCACACCACTAGCATGTCAGCAGCAGTTCATTCTAAGAGGGCTACACATCTGCTCAGGCCAAGGCCCTGGGGTACTTTCAGATTCTCTATGGAGCATGTATACATTTTCTCATTTAATCTCTAAAAGACCTTATGAAGTATGTACTATTAATATTTTTGCATTTTATACATTAGGAGACTGAAGTTTAGAAGTATTGTATAAACCTATTCAAAGCCACACAGCTAATAACAAAGTCTGGATTGGAAATCATAATCTTAAGTAATATACTATATAATCCATACACTCAGTCATCTGTTTGGTTTTCCACTAAATCTCCAAAGAGTCAAAATCAACTGTTTCTTTCAAAGACTTATTAAAGTTTTAGGAAGTATGTAATTTTAAAAAACCTTTAAGATGATCAAGAAATAGTAAAAGTTTGTTAACTAATGTTGAAGACATTTCTATTAAATGGAAATGTTAACAAAATTTCTGTCAGTTCTATTGCTAGCAGACAAATTTCTACTTAAAATTTTTAATAATCATGTGAACATTTCAGCTTAGGGGCAAAGGCAACCTGTGTTCATTTAAAGCAATTCCTTGGAAATCTTAGGACATCAAATTTCCGGAATTCACACAGGAGAGCTACCACACACTTACTTTGACCTGAGGGTAAGACTTCTTGTTCTTTTCGCTAGAGGCACCAGGTAGTCCACCATGGGATGGGCCTTCACATACATAACGGAAACGAAATCCTCTCTGCAAAGGTGAATGTTAAGCCAATTAAGTTTGAGAAACACTTATTAAAAATTATAGCAACAAAGATATGTACAAAAAGTTTAAATCTTATGTCTACTAAACGAGAGAAGAAAAACATGAAATTGTGAAAGAGGGCTCTGTAAATGAGAATCACTTTTCCCATAATCTTATTATGAAAAATGGTATTAATTGATATTTGTACACTAAGATGTGTCTAAAAAGCCTGCGGAATGTCTGCTGAAGAGTTTAGGCTTCAGACTCAACATGTCACAGCTTGTTCTAATCAGAGCTTCCTTGTCTTAAACTGCTGCTGCCAAGCTCTGAACTTTACCATATTAATAAAAGTTATGCTTCCTTGACTCTTACTTGAAGAAATTCCTTTATCTACTCTGATTACAGTTGGTTTCAGGAGGGACTACAGAAATGTTTGTTTAAATAGATTGCTTCAGCGTTGTAGAACACACCCTATGCTAGACCCTGAATCTGTTGAGCTTTTCAGCAGTTCAGAGGATATTTGTTTTTATGATTATTGATACGGTCAAGCTCAAGATTGAATATTAACCTACCAGAATGATTCCAAAACTAGATAGTTCCCTCAAATACTATCTGACCCAGAAGTGTTATAGATGTAGTTAATTAATGAAGAGTTAGCTGGAAGCCTTCACCATAAAAACTACTGTGGCTAATAAACACCTAAGAAGTGCTATGTTTTCTCATTTGTACAAAAGGGAAGATTATACCAGACCATCTTTAAGGTCTACTCCAGTTCTAACTTTGTATGATTTACAAAGCTAACTTAATTATTCATATTTATAAACAAAGAATAAAACAAGGATAATTACGCAAATGGACCTCACCATCATATTAAGGGAGATTTCACTGTATTTCCTGAAAGATTCAATTTTATAATGATATCAATCAATTTGTGGAAGTGTTAGTAGTTTATAACCATACAGTTGCTTAAGCAGATGATTTTCTTTGTTCAGATTCACTTTTTGGTGAAAAGAAAAGATATTAAGATATTTTAAGGAACATCCTCACCTTTTGTTTCTATTGTGGTACCAACTCCGCATATACAGCACTAGATCATTTGGCCATCAGCTCCTCATACCCACTAGTTGCTGGTGGGGGCTCGCTATCTTACTCATTAAATTGTGGAACCCTGGCAAGCATGAAGATTTTGACAGCTTTGAGCTCATGAACCAATGTAAAATTTGTGTACTACTTAGACTATACTACATTTCCTTATGCCTAGTAAGGTCTTCCAGTCTCTGAGCAGTCCAGTGCCTTGAACTGGTTTAAATCTCTGGGAAGCATCTGGAACTGACCCTATAATCTCCAAAAACTTCCTGATTTCCAAAGATCAGTCCTAAAACACATTTTACCAGAGAAGAAAGGCCTAAAGTAAATTCCCTAGTCTGGGAAAGTTCCTCAGTGCTCACATAGGTCTAAAGTGTGTGATCAACTCATCACAGTGAGACCTAAAACAACAACTTGGGAGATTCTAGATCTAAACACAAGGAAACCTTTGGAGATAAAGTTTCAGAGGCAATTCCTTTGTTTTGCTTCTCATGAAATTCAAATTTAAAAATAATTTACAATTTCAGCCCTATGCATTTTATATGCAAACACTGTTGGTTGTTTAAATAATTAGCTAACCATAAGAATAGAGATTTACTTGACTGCTAATGAATTTAAACACAACTTGAGTTTTTGAACAGTATTAGTTAATTAACAATGACTAGTATGCAACAGCACTGGATGTTCTAAAAATTAGTAGTCTATGCTATAACTCATCTCTGTCAAAGCTGGAGAAAATCTGTGGCTAAGAGGTCCTAAAAAAAAAAGAACCTTTTTCTAACTTATAAAAACAATTTGTTATCTTTAATCACAAAATTCCTTTGGGACAGTTAGAAAAATATAGTCACATATGTGTTTATATCTTGTTGGGAATGGTGTAAGAGATACTGTAAATACTTAATGATATTTTTCATGGTTGCATAACAGTATCTAAAGTTTCATTAAATTCTCAATTTTTTTTAACCTGAGGTTGAAAATTTATAACATTTTTCAGGAAGATGTCATCAATGCATTGTCTGGATGCATTTCTGATTCGAAATTTCTGAGATTAAAGGTTTGCCTTTAATCCACAGTCATTCATCTCAGTAACTCCATTTGCTTAAAATGAGTCATCAACCTCAAAGGCAAGGCTACATCCATTCAGTCAGAAAGTCTGGTGTGAATACAACCTTCCTACTTTCACTGAAGTCAGACATCAAAATAGCATCACTTTGGAAACCACATTGCTTTACTCACACAAGTTTTTATGTGAATTAAATTTTGAATTTTGGAACTATATTAACCCTTCAGGTAAATCCTAAATGCCAATTTTTCCTTATGACTGCTGGATCCATCATAAGAAATTACGTTTAAAAATTCTTATTGAAGTGCTATGCTTATGAAAATGATATTTGAAAGAACACTTTGGCATATGCAGACAAATTTTAGTTGATATCTGTTTCATGGACTACCTAGATTTTAAAAGCTGGGAAACTTTCCAGGATGCCAGATCCCATAGAATTTTAAGGGATAAAATTCCACTGGAATTGATGACCTTCTGTGAGAAATAACTGCTAAAAAGAGCTGAACATGGAGGTAAAGCAATGGAGTTTCGCTGGCAGCTTGTGGAGTCAGGATGTGACACCTGCAAGAACTAGAACCATGCCCGAAGTTTCACATGGCATTCTTGCCCACACAGCAAAAACTTTCATCTAATTTCAACCTTATAAGGATAGCCTGTTAGGTAATCATCAAGATATTTATATCATTTAAATGCTAACCAAATCTAATACATATATAATGCCATAATTCTGGAAACCACAAGGCAGTGGATGCTTTATTTAAGCTCATGACCTACTTAGCATGTGTTAAATGTTACAAAATGCAAAAGTGTTTCACTTACCTGAGCTAATGCAAAGAATACTTAGAAAATGTATTGGGTAATACAGCTGCAAGAGGACAGTATCCATATCCTTGGTCTCATACAAAGGTGATTAGTTTATCTACCCAGAGATTTACTGACTCTCCTCATTCTGTGGAGAACTATACTGTTAGTATTAGGGGTTGATTACTTCTAACCCCTAATAATTGAAACTTCCTATAGGCAGATGTTAATTAATTATTTGGTCCCATCCAATTTCCTATAAATATCCACAGAACTGGATATGTTATGGAGGCCATTTCAGTTCTGAGGTATACTCTACAGAATCTACTGGTAAGAGGTAAAGCCTGATAAAGTGCTCCTCTCCTGACTTCAAAGAGGCTGAGTCTAAAGTTAACACCAGGAGGAAGAGAATTCAATAATTCATTCTGATACTTTACTTCCCACTGGTACTTTTAGTATGTTAGGTTACATGTTCCAAAGGCAACACAGAAAAGGCTATCAAAGGAAGGAGGAAGGCTAAGAGGTACTACGTGTGCAAAGATACAATGGATGGAAGTCCATGCTCAGTGCATGTGAACTGTATGCATATGTATTTTCTTATAATTGAAAATGAATGGAAATAACCTCTGCCTTTCCTAGGAGTGGCTGCTAAGTTAAGCTGTAGAGACAGCAGAATACTGTAATTAACTGTAATTTTAATACTGTAATTAACAAGTTATACAGAACTATGTACTGAGGCTCAGGACAGTGAAGAATGACTAAGAGATATGTAAAGTGAATGAATAAAGCTGTTACATAATTTGTCAGGTTGTTGATCTTTCAGATAAGTTACTTCCTTCATAGAATTCATTTACTATTATTCAGTGCTTAGGATCTCAATATTAGACACTGGAATCTAACACTTTAATCAGAGTCCCACCCCTTTAATCTTACCTGTTTAGGTTGCTCTAATATTTGAAGGTATGGGCCATCTGCTAAAAACAAAAACAACAAACAGAAACCAAAAGAAACTGTGAGGCTTCTCAAATTTGGTATAAAATGAAAAGCAAGTCAAAAACTAAAATTAATGTTTTTATGTAGAAGTTTCAAATCAATTTTTGGCTAAAATTCCACAAGGATATAATTTCTCATCCTTGTTTAACATATTAAATTAACCCTTATTTTAACAATAGTTTTAAAAGTTTAGTGAACCAAGACAAGTAAATGTTTGTTTAATGGTGATGGCACACTTTCCAACCCAACAAAAGGCATATGGCTGGCAAGAATTGATGTTAACAGCCTTCATAATCCTGTCTCCTAACAAAGCATTTTAAAATGACAAACACCAATTAAAAGCAGCAACCACTTCCTGGGCACTATGACATTTTCTTTGTCTTGCACATCATTAGACATTGACTTTCATTCCTCAAAGAGAGTGTGATTAATGTGAAATTAAATGATACTGAGCTAGCAACCTGCATGTGTGACAGGCATCGGGCTACCTTTTTTTCCTTACAATAGGTTTTCTGTTCCTTTCCTTACCTGAAGGGAAAGTACTGCCTTCATTCCTTAACTGGTTAGTTTGTTTCTCTTTTCCTCCCTGACGCTCCCAGTGTAATTTGCTCCATCAGACGTGGTAAAATTTTCATATTAATCCATAACTTTTGATGTTTATATGCAATTTTTGAATATTGTGCTGTCACATAAACTTGATTCTAAAACAGCTCAGGCATTTTATAAAATACTGAAAATAATTTAATTGAAGGTAGATGTGTGCAAATTAATTACTGTAAAAACACAAAACTAGAGTCTTAATCCTACCCTAAAGGTAACTGACTTAAAATTTCAAAGGAAAATCAGAATCTCTGACAACATAAGTACAAATTGTTCAATATGAAAAAGTCTCTAAGCTTCTCTGCTGATTTTTATGTCAACAGTATAATATCCCATAGCTCTGCAATAAATAAAAGCATATGGTGGTTCTCATTTATTTGAATGTAGATCAAGATGTTTGGTGCTAAAAATATTCTAGGAGGATGCTTGTATGTCCATTTTAATCTTCATTTTCCTTCAGGAAGAAACTCAAGACCTTTTATTTTTAGATAAATAAATTTGTGAAGAGATAAACCTTCAGGTTAAAATTAAACTGTAACATAAAAGAGAATTTATTTTTATCTTTTCAATATTATGATGAAACAGGGTAAGGCTAGAGAACTGGAGAAAATAAAGGTATAATTACTTCCTGTTATAATTCAAGAAATTATACAAGGAAGCCAGTTGAAAAATGACTGCATCTGAGATGAAACATACATAAGACAAAAAAGGGGGTAGTCACTGGTTAATGTATTAAGTTACCATCTTTTGTCTGTATAAAATTCATCTCTGGACATTTTAAATCACTTTGAGAAACATAATCATAATTTTAAAATTTCCCCCAAATAGCTAGCATTTAATTTTGGAGAAAGAAATAAAATTGATTAGAAAGGGAAATACTTTCATACTAAGACAGAGCCTGTATGATGTAACACTTATAAAATGTAACACTTATAAAAACATTGTAACACTTACAAAAACAACATGTAACACTTATAAAAACATTCCCTGTTACAATGGTAAAAGAACATATCAAGAAGATAGTCTTCTAAGACAGCAATATTTGGATGCCATGAAAAATATAGAGGAGTTAGAAGCATGTTTACATTAAACTTCAAGTCCCCCACTTTTTATTACCTCTGCTAAAAACACCTGTAATTTTTTTATTATTTTTCCTGTATGATTTAATTTCCTTTAAATATGTGAAAATTCATGTAAAATAGAGCCATTTCTCTCTTTCAGCCAACACACTAAACATTAAATCAATTAGAAAATTAGATTTGATATGTATATATTTGTTGTTTTAAGGCCAACATTCTTTTGGCAACATTTCTGTGCCATGAAAGTGACATTCCACCATGCAGAGAAATTTAACTTTAGACCTAAGAGTTATGTCGCATCCTATGGTCTTCAACAAGTACTAGATCTACTAAAGGTTTTAGATTTCAAAAAATCTAGAAGACTAAAAAAATCCATTTTAGACTTACAATTAATACTGGTTTAGATAATCAACCTCTCTACCTCTTTACAAATTTGAATACAATATCCTATAATTTTGGACTATAAAAATTGTACTATGACACTGCAATGAAGAGGGAAAAAAGTGTAGATAAAAATGATGGGGTAACAACAACTAGCAAATTAGATATTTAGGCGTAATTTTAATAGTTTTTCTAATATTATGGCAAAATAATTTCTACAACATAAAGCTGTGACCACAGCATATTTACTGAGATGGTTATTTTGATAATCTTATTTTCATGCCCATATACCTGAAGGAAAAAAAAAATTAAGAGAACATCTGCCTCAGGATACTGTTTGGTATTCACAAGTCACTAAATGGAAATATGTGTATTTCCTGTGGACAGAACCAAGTTTTTATATTTTCAATAATACATTAATACTAAGAAAAATACTTTGAACGCTACAATTTAAAAGTTCACAAGAAACACACACACTACAGGAAGCAGACCTAGAGCTTAAATTGGACAGCACTTCACAAGACCTCAGACATGGCAGCCTAAAAATTATGTTTTGTAGAAGTAAAGAGAGAAAAACCTCTGAAATACGCCTTTACTAGTAAAGGTGAAAGTATAGTAGATTGATTTTTTTCCCTCCCATGAACTCCTAGAAATACTAAAGATATAAATGCAGAAAAAGTATTCTGATCTAAAAAAAAAAAATGAAAAGTAAGTACTGGAGTAACCGTAATAATTTTAAATGAGAATAACTCAAATTGGATAAGTATCCCAAGGAAGACAAGCAAGTTCCTGTTAAATAAAAGAGCTGATGCCCACTTCAGTGGTTAACAAACTGTGTTTTACACATAACCTCCATAATTAACTCACACTACTTTTTAACATATCTGTAAAGTCCCACGTGTGGTGACTGGTGAAGTGAGGAGAGAAACAGAACATGAGAAGAGCCATCACACCAAACTTACATACAAATAAATCCATTTTTCTAAGAAAGGCTAAATGAGTTGCTTTTTATTACTCTTATGAAATTAAACAGTTGCTGATGGGGACAATTAAAGTAGTCATGTTAGAAGGAAGGATTATTATTGTGAGTTTTATCCAACTTGTCAGAGTGCAAAGTTATAAGCTTTTATAAAGATGACTTTTCTGCTGAGATGATTTTTACGATTTCTGTACACTTTGATTCCCCAGTGACTGGCACACTGGCTACAGGCCCTCTTAATGTTTGAAACAGAAATGAAAAGCAGAGTCTGCCTTGTGTGAATCTGGGACAGAAGAAAGGAATTAAAAGGAATACAGGATAATACAAACTGAATGAAAAAAAATCCTTATATTGAGTAAAGATATTCCCTCTGAGTGGTCCTAGCAGATATGAAACACAGTAAATCATCCAAGGGGTAATTGAGATGAAATGTTTTAGTGCAAATATATTTCAAGAAAGTATATTAAAAGTTTTTTTTTTTTTTTTTTTTTTTTTTTTTGAGATGGAGTCTAGCTCTGTCACCCAGGCTGGAGTGCAATGGCACGATCCTGGCTCACTGCAACCTCTGCTTCCCAGGTTCAAGTGACTTCTGCCTCAGCTTCCTGAATAGCTGGGACTATAGGCACACACCACCACACCCAGCTAATTTTTTTGTACTTTTGTAGGGACGGGTTTCACCATGTTACCCAGGCTGGTCTTGAACTCCTGACCCAGTGATCCACCCACCTCGGCCTCCCAAAGTGCAAGAATTACAGGTGTGAGCCACCGCACCCGGCCAAAAGATTGGCTTTTTAAAACAAATCACCATTTCCTTTTAAGTACACAACTGAATTTCTAGGAGAGACTATTAACAAATCCTGCATTTTACTAACACTGAAAGCAGAACAACAGGGTAACAGGGATGAGTTTTCTTACCTGCTGGCAGTTGCATCTGTGGTTGAAATACTTCTGGATTAAATATTGTATGAGTCAAAGAAGGATCCAAATGAAACATCTGTAAAGAAGATAATTTAAATCTTTCATTATTTTTCCTATATTATATAAAAAATTTGAAGTTGGGACACGTAAAACTTAAAAATAGGAATGAAACTAAAGCCAAAAACAAAAATCTGAAAATATTTTAAATCAGGATTTTAAAAGATCTTCATGAGAGCTAGGTAAATTTTCATGTGTACAAAACTTTATATAGGGTTAGACTACATCTATGTAACAAAGGGATTTGAGAAAAATAACTTGGCTATAAAGTCCCCAGAGGAAGGGACCTAGTCTAGCTTGCTTACTGGTGTATCTTCAGGGCCAAGTACATGCTTATCACAGAACAGATACTTAAATAATTGCTGAATGAATGATTTGAAGCTTCTACTCTCTTAGAAGTACAAACCAAAGAATATAATCTTAGAAATCAATATTTCATCTATGGTGATAAATATATCCCTAATCTAGCTACCCAATGTCTGAAATCTAGCTACCCAAGGCCTGAAAGAATGACAGAGAGCACTTCTGGGACTATTTACAGAATAACTGAAAATATAACTTACAGTGCAAGGAGCAGATAACTAAGCACTCAGCTCATTCATTTCTTTCACCTTTACTTTCCTAGCATAACACAAAATACCTAGAATTTAGTAGGTACGTTAGCTGAATAAGGGCCCTCTAAACATGTCTGCATCCTAATCCTCAGAACCTGGGGATGCTATCTTATATGGCAAAAGGAGTTTTACGTATGTCATTATGGTAATGATATTAAGATGAGAAGTGTGTCTTGAATTGTCCAGGTGGGTCTGATGAGAGGGATTCAGGAAAGCACACTGAATAGTAGGAGGTGTGACAATAGAAGCAAGAGGCTGGTGTGATGAGCTGGTGCACAGGAAAGTAGGCAGCCACTAGAAGCTCAAAAGGCAAAGACGTGAGAGCCTCCAGAAGGAAAGCAGCCCTGCCAACACCTTGATTCTAGACTTCTGAGCTCCCACTCAGAAGTATAATTTGGGTGGTTTTAAGCCACAAGTATGTGGTAATTTGTTAGGGCAGCAGCAGAGTGGGGATGCAGTATATTTTGATGAAAGTAAATGGTTTAAAATCAAGCAGAAACAATCCTCGTGCTGGTTAGTTTGCCCTGAATTGTTAGAGCACGTTAAAAGTGAAAGGTAAAGCAAAGGGTTTTGATCATATGAGTAGCCAATTGTCTTTGTTGCAATAAAATAAATGTTCCTAGGTTTATCCTAAATTATTTTAAAAATAAAATTAGGAGCATCTTAATGTGAAAATGCATATTCATTCTTTCTAAATCAATCGGAACATTACTAGGAGTAATCAATATTATATATGTCTATTTTATTTACAGAAGTCATACCAGATCATTTATAACATATTGTACTCCTGGTTTTAATAAATTATTATTACTTATCAAAAAATTTTTAACTGCTAGTTCATTTAGGACTTTAAAACTGTATTTCTGAGTTTGCTATTTATTTTAGCCCAAATAAGTTATATGTCTGAAATGTCTGTGGACAGCACGGAAATTAGCCATATTTTACTTTTTATGAGAGACTAGTTAGTAAGTGTGCTGAACTAGCTTTTTGTTTCTTTTAATAGCTAGCGTTAGAGCTTGTCTCCTGTCCTCAGTAATAAATGATTGGAGGTTCTTGGGTACCAAAGAACTTAATATGCCTAGTAAAATTAAGAGTAAGAAAAATGCCCTTTAAATAAAGAATACTTCAGATCCAGTTGAGGGATGCAAATTTTCAATTGAGGAACAAAGAATGCGTTTCACTTCAATGCTTAAGAGTAAAAGCTCACTGATGCTATTCATTGTTTGCTCAAAAGGAAATACAGGAATGAAAAACCATGTTCTGCAAAAATGGGCCTCGTTTCAGAGAGGATTTTAACAGTCTCAGAGCAAACGTGATAACCTAGAAGGAAAACTAACTCTTTCCTGGGGTGGCTGAATGACTGGAGTGGGCAACAGTGCCCATCTTAGGAGAAAGATATACTCTCCACTTCAGACTACAAAGAGAGAACTTGTGTTGTGCTGCAGCTTGCATTGCTTATTAGGTCAGGGGTGGAGAGCAAATTCCAGATTCCACTAAAACACTGGGGACATGCAAACCTTAGGAAATATAAACCATCAAGCTCAAGCCAAGAAAGAAAAAAAAACTTAAATGACCTCTTGCCTCAAAATTGAAAATGTCAGAACATGCCCCACCCCTGTTACTGATGATCGCAAAGGTGCCCACATAAGAAAAACTTTCAAAATGAATGTTTTCAGCAGGTTTTACTCTTCTGTGGCACAAAGAATCATCTCTTGTTGATAAGATTTCCTGTGTACAGACAGGAAAGGATGGTTTAAAATCTAGTAGAAACAATCCTCATGCTGGTTAGTTCGCCCTGAATTGTTAGAGAGAGCACGTTAAAAGTGAAAGGTAAAACAAAGGGTTTTGATAATATGAGTAGCCAAATGTCTTTGTTGCAATAAAATAAATGTTCCTAGATTTATCCTAAATCACCATCTTAAAAATAAAATTAGAAAGGAGCATCTTAATGTGAAAAGCAATGCATATTCATTTTTTCTAAATCAATGAAAACATTACCAGGAGTAATCAATGTTATATATGCCTATTTTATTTATAGAAATAATACCAGATCCTTTATAATGTATTCCACTTCCGGTTTTATTTTTCTGAATGATTCTGTGCATGTGGAATTTCAGAAATCCACTGCTTTAAATGATTGTCACTAAAATTTAAATGTGACTAGCCTATCTTGACACCTAGTGTTCCTTCTTGTCTAGTCTAGCAAACTACATCTTTGACATCTCAGCTTACAAAGACTTCCTTGGAAAGACCTCTGTAACTCTGCTCTTCCTCCAAGGTAGCACCTAGTGATGCTGTTTAACATTCCTATCCCACTCTGCACAGACGACGACTACAGCATATATCAACATATGAAAACAATGCCTATGTTCTTCCTATTAAAATAGGAGCTTCCTCAAATTACAGTGTATATATCGCTTATTTTTCCCCCACTAAGCCAATGTTCTGGCACATAGTAGTGCCTCAATCAGTAGCTGATGAATGAACAACTCTCCATGTTTTAAATACTTGAATCATTACATAAAAAAATTAACATGGCCATTATAATTATTCAAGAGTCTGCAAATTGCTTTCAAATGGTTTTATATATATACACATATACACACATATAAACATATACATACACATATATATACACATATACATATACATATGAGAGAGAGAAGAGAGAAAAGCAAGAATGTTGGTTTTAAGAACCAACATAGATTTGTTAGACTATTCCAATATTTCTATAGGCTTGACATTTTTCAAAATAATATAGGAAAAAAAGAAAAAAGGACATTGCTATCCTAACTACTAATATAATGATATGAACAGTTTTATGCTTCCAAAGCACATTCATTGACCATTTTTGACTTACCCCTGTTAGCGTGGTGCTAGCATTTCTATTCTGCAAATGAGAAAATTGAGGATTAAGGGAACTAAGTGATTCTTCAAGTCAGAGGAGCTGATCTGTAGTAGTCAGTATTTATTATATAAAGATCTTCAAACTCTGAATCCAAAGATCTTTTCACTACAACAATGTATCTCCTTACTTGATGAGTTTTAAATACAATTTTTGGTATAAATTGATGGGGTACAAGTGCAATTTTGTTACATGCATAGCTTGTCTAGTTGTCCAAACAGAGTTTTTAGGGTATCCATCACTCAAATAACGTACATTGTACCCACTAAGTAACTTCTCATCATCCACCCCCATCCCACTGCCCTCACACCCCTCACCTTTCCAAGTCTCCATGATCTGTCATTCCACTCTTTACATCCATGTGTGCACATTAAATAAATACGTCAAAGAGCCATAGTGGGTTAAACTGTGTTCCCTCCCAAAAAGACACCTTTAAGTCCTAATCCCCAGTACCTATGAATGTGACTTTATTTGGAAATAGGATCTTCACAGATATAAGCAAATTAAAGTGAAGTGATACTGGATAAGGGTGTCCCCTAAATCCAGTGATGCCTTTGTAAGAAAAAAGAGAAAGGGATCTAGGTTTAGAGACACAGTAGAGACACACAAGGAAGAAGCACATATGACAATGGAGGAAGAGATTGGAGCGATACAGCTACAAGCCAAGGATTCCCTGCAACCAATCAGAAGCTAGGGTAGAGGCATGAAGCAGATTCTCCTGAGCCTCCAGAAGGAGCCGATCCTGCCAGCACCTTGATTTCACACTTCTAGCCCCTAGAACTGTGAAATAATGTATTCTTTTGTTTTAAGCCATCAGGTTTGTGGTGATCTGTTATGGTAGCTCTAGAAAACTAATACAACAGCAATCCTGTAGCATATATAACGTTTAAGTTACTCATTTTACATGATGTATCCCTCTCCAACTTCACATAAAAGAACAGAGAAACCAAAATTTAAAAAAAATACTAATTTTAGAATTTTCCTAATACTAACTTACTAATGTTGCCTTTGTATATTTTAAAATATGAATACATTTAAATATAATTATCAGTGAGATTATAACACTTACTTGTTCAGGCCTTCCCAAATATGGATCATCTTCTGCCATTCTGAAACTGTATATTAAAACAAAACAAAACAAAACTGTAACACTAGAATAAACTTTAAAAATTCTATCACCATGGAATTCATGCAGGAATAAACTGTATTATACCAGTAAGGCCAAATATAATCCTTTTTTGAAACCGTAGGAGGGGGACATTATGTAGTTCCTCTTTGGTATCTAAATCTAACAGCAAGGAGATTGCATAATCAAGGAATTACCACTTACGTATGATACAATACCCTGGTGTTAAGCTCACCGCAATGTCCTGAGTCTGGTACAAATGATCTTTATGCTTTATATAAAAAATCATTCATACTGGGATTCTTAGAAGCCATTTCTTTTTATCACCCTCTGAATTTCAAGGACTTACAATCTTAGTTCCTTAAGTATATCATTTTCCAACCCTTCATAAACTTTGTGATGGTCCTAGAACTGTCTCAAAGTTTTCTACAAGGTTGAGAAGCTCAAAAGGGACTGATCAGTACTTTGCGTAACACAAGGGGAGGACTGCTACCAGGCTCTTTCTCCTAATGCGAGGGTCGCCAAACCCTGGGTCACAGATAAGGCAGCACAATAGGAGGTGAGCAATAGGCAAGCCAGCCAAGCTTCATCTGTATTTACAGCTGCTCCCCAGTGCTTGCATTAACGCCTCAGCTCCACCTCCTGTCAGATCAGTGGTGGCATTAGATTCTCACAGGAGTACAAACCCTACTGTGAACTGTGCATGCAAGGGATCTATGTAGAGCACTCCTTATGAGAATCTAATGACTGATGATCACTGTCACTGTCTCCCATCATCCCAAGATGGGATCATCTAGTTGCAGGAAAACAAGCTCAGGTTCTGATTCTACATTTGGGTGAATTGTATAATTATTTAATTATATATTATGACATAATAATAGAAATAAAGTGCACAATAAATGTAATGTGCTTGAATCATCCCCAAACCATCCCCCCACAAAACTGGTCCCTGATGCCAAAAAGGCTGGGGACTGCTGCTCTAGTGTGTTCCACAGAAGCAAGCCATATTCCTGCCATTGCCAAGCTGGTATAGAAACTCTGTAACAGTCAAAGTGCAATAAAAATACAAAAATAAAAGCCCTTATTATCAAGGCTATAGGTCTCAGATTTAATCAACCTCAGCTAAACATTAATATACTGCAAGCCTAGCAATCTTCTGTTACCCAGAGGCCCTGATAAAAGTGAGGAACCACATGGTCAGATAAAGATAGTATCTAAAATTACATATCATTTGAGATTTACTTGCTTGAGAAATGTTATTATCTAAAGGTTAATTTTATTTAAGTTTATTTAGATCTAATTTTAGATATGTGACATGAAAAATGAGAAAATTAAAAACAAGGCTGAGGGTAAATATTAATTCCTGGGGTAATTTTTTCTTTCTTTTTTTTTTTTTTTCATAAAGTCTATCAAGAAGTCATGGGTACTTAGGACTGCAGATCAGAATGTCAGCTATCCACCAAAATGTGTTGTCTTTTTTTCCATAGTATTAGTATTGTAGCTGGAAATGTGTCTGCTTACTTGGTGTATACTCCACACTTCCTTGGAGTTAGAGATGGCTATCTGACCAAATGCTCACCAGTGCAATGTCAGAACTCTTGTGTACCATTTCCAGGTCTGGGCTTAAGGCCCTTGATATGCTTCCTCCACATAAACTCAGACATGGAGAAGACCTGGCTTCTACCAAAAAGATGATGATGTATAGCCTAGGGATGGCAGACAAATGAAGGGGAAGGAATGAAGATCCCCAAACAGTGCCATGAGACAGCTCTGCTCTGACCATCCAGGCTGCTCATGCTGGTGGTGATGAGAGTAAGAAATAAACTTTGTTCTTTAACCCAAATGCACTGTCAGGTCTGTTCGTTCAAATAGTTTATTTAGCCCTCACCCTAATGAATATATCACATAACACTCCAATAAGCACAAAGTCCCCTAAAAAAGAATCTGATTTTCAAAGAAATCCTCTCAGCTGGGGCACTGTGTGAGTGAGGAAGAATGAGAAAGCTGATGAGCATTCTAGGGAAATGCAGAGCAGTGTACAACTTTAACAAAAGGGAAAAGGGAAGCTCTGAGTCCTTCAGAACATGAAATTCATGCGGGTTTGCAGGGAAACATTTACCTAAAACAAGAAAGTATTGATTGATGATATACAGAAAACCACAATTAAATCCCAATTAAGACAAGCAGTTAAAAAAAAAAGGGAAAACTGACCTGATACAGTAAAGAGAGTAAGTCACTTGAAATTTAAGAGTTATATCATGCTAGGTGTGTGAGCTTGGATATTAATTAAAGTCACTGTAGCCTTTGTTTCTTCTGTAAAAATGACAGATTTTGATGGAATGGACTTTTGAAAAGAATATAATCTTGTTGAGCTTGGAATATGTTAATTAGCTAATAAATGACTATTCAAAGAACAAATCCTCTAAATCCTAATTTTTTTTTGTAAACTTGGATTTTTAGATGTATTTCTATATCTATATTAAAGAATCATTAGCATAGTTTTCAGTTATATGAAGAATACTAGTAAAAACAATTACACTTAAATACAGTACAGAATACCAGCTAAAACCATCAACGTCTAAATTCCTACCCTTAGAATACCACAGGAGCTCAAACTTCCAAGAAAAATATTAAAACCATTGTTGTCTTTTAAGCTTTCCATCAATCTAGACTGATTTCCTCAATCTTCATAAATAATCTTAACCTATGGTCCTCAAAAACAGAGGTGAGGCTGTTGACTTGTTAATTATACTGATTATACACATTTAAATCTGTGGATGGCTTCCCAGACCTCTGAATATATGAAGTTAACATCAAGCAGTCCTCACTCTAATTTTTAAAACTCAAACTAAACCTACTTTATTAGAACTGATGTATGATCACTACTATAGTGAAAACCTTAATGAAGATCTGTCAAAGGCAGGCACCAGACAAACTGCCAAATTAAACATGGTCTTTCCCTTCAATGTCCTCCCCATGATTTATACACCAATTCTTGCCAAAAGATCACAGTTTTAAAAGCCTAATAGCAGCCCAAGGGATTCTTGGATTATAGTTAAAATCTGAACTTTTACAACGTTTTCAAGGCAGTTAAGTTCACTGTGAAGACCTGAGGTGATGTCAATGTTAATTCACAATTTAAAAATGAAATGTCAAAAGAAACCAAGAATCATTTGGAAAGGATGAATCACCGAGTAATATTTGCATTAATTGTAAAAGCAGGTTTTATTTCTAAAATGTTGAAATACAACTAAGCCTCTGGACCTAAAGGATTAGAAAAGACCAGGGAAAACCCCTTCTACCTCCTTGTTCCCCAAGCCCTTCCCCTCACTTTCCCTTGCTCAGTTCTTTGCTTTTGAGGAAGGACCTTAAAGCCAAAAGGGTGATACTAAGTTTCCTGGGGAGAAGATGGGACTAATCTCTGCATCTCTTTTCCCAGTAATGAGCTTTTTAGGAAGATTTTCACACCACAGAAAAAGAAATAGAAAGTGTAGCTAGCCAACAACAAATAAAATAGTCAGTGAATTGCTTGTGTTTTTCACATGAAAAGCATAATGTTACAACTAGCTTGGTTCTGAACACGTGATGAGTTCTATGAAATATCTAATGGGTTATTTTCTGAACCTCTGTGACGATGCCCCATTAACACCAAAGTGTAGCACATGAGCTTCTTGGTGAAGGCTGTAGGACTGAGTAGATTAACTTGAAAGCCACAGGGTTGAGCCATTACGGATGGAGTTGGGGGCATTCCTGTCCTTGTGACTGGGGAAACTTTCCAGGATCAGAGATAGTCACACTTTCAACAATTACCTACTGTAAGAAAATACATTCTTGTATCTTAAAATAATAAAACTATGTACGGCAAACCCACAGCCAATATCATACTGAACAGGCAAAAACTGGAAGCATTCCCTTTGAAAACTGGCACTAGACAAGGATGCCCTCTCTCACCATTCCTATTCAATATAGTATTGGACGTTCTAGCCAGAGCAATCAAACAAGAAAAAGAAATAAAGGGTATTCAAATAGGACTCAGTATTTTGTTTCCCATTCTACATTTATGGGTACACTGACACATTCCCTCTCTCAGGTGGCTGGCTATGTGTCACTGCTAGATAAACTATTTGCATTTTGCCCCCAGGGGTCATTTGGCAATGTTTGGAGACATTTTTGCCTGTCATAGCTGGATGGGTGGTCTTACTGGCATCTAGTGTATACAGGATAGAGATGTTGCTACACATCCTGTACTTCACAGGACAGCCCCTCACAATAAAGCACAATCCAACCCTGAATATCAATAAGGCCGAGCATGAGAATTCCTAACGAATATCATCACATTGTGACAGTGCTTTGGTTCACATGGAGAAAGAAGTAAACTTTATTGACTACCTCATGGGTAAAGAACTGTAGCTAGAACTTCACGTTTCTCTTAATTCTCACACCAATCCTGAGAACCACCATCCTAGAAAAAACACTGAAGCTGAAGAGAGTAAGTCATTTGCTCAGGTTGATAGAGTAATGCTGCTAATCTGACCCCACAGTCTCTGGTTCTTTCAGTTGTTTAGGAGGCAAAAGTAATTTTCTTCTTTGGCATATGACATTATTTATTTTAATATAGCATGTTTGCTTCAGGTCTCTTCTGGTTGGAGCTAGTCTACCCATGGCACAGCCTAAAAAGCAGGATAGGATTCTGACAATGTACAAAACTAATTCTTCACAAGTCAATTGCCTGTGAAGATAAAAATACCAAACAATGTTAAATGATAGTTCTTTTGTAAAAAAAAAATTTTCTTTGGTCAATCTGAAAAGATAGGAGAATAAAGAGATTCTCCCTGAACTATGTCTATACTCACTGATGATACGATGAAAGTATGTATATATACATAATATATATGTACTTATAATATTATGTATATAATTACATATTAAATTATATCAAATGTATATAACATATATAAATTAAAACTATAGTATATTGAAATGCTAGCT